GCAGCAGCGTTTGACAGGTGGCGATGGACCTGTCCAGGACCTTCTCCTTGGACTGTGTTTTCCACTTACCTCCAGACACCCCATTCTTGGTCTTCCTCCTGTTTCTCTGGCTGCTTCTCAGCCTCCTTTGTTGATTCCTTCTTAGCACCCTGACCTCACCTTGGAGGACCTGAGGCTCAAGCCTTGAATGTCTTCTCTAATTACATTCACCCCCTTAATGGTTTTATGCTGTCTCATGGATGTATATACTATGTCCATGCTGACAGGTTCATATCTCTATGTTGGCATCTCTTCTGAATTCCAGATCTACGTGTGTGTTCTCAGGCAGACTGACTCTGTGACCCCATGGACTGCAGGCTGCCAGGCTCCTCTGTCCATGGGATTTTTCAGGCAAGGATACTGGAATGGGTTGCCATTCCTTTTCCAGGGGATCTTCCCAACCCAGGGATTGAACCCACATCTCTTGCATCTCCTGCATTGGCAGGCAGATTCTTTACCCACTGTGCCACTTGGGAAGCCTCCCCAGTTATACATGTCAACTCCCAATTCAAAATCTCCACTTGAGTGTCTAATGCATTTATCCAAGTTAACAGGTCCAGAACTCTGCTTGTTTCTCCCGTCAAACCTTCTCCATCTGTTACCTGCTGCTTCTCAGTCAATGGCGACTTCATCCTTGCAAACGATCAGGCATGATGATAGTCATCTCGGTTCCTCACTTTGGCTCATATTCCATATTTAATCTGTCAGGAATTCTGTAGGCTCTATATTTAAAATATACCCAACATCTTTTATCATCGTGGTCCAAGCCGTCACCACCTTTTACTTGGGTTACTGCGGTAGCTTCCTGCTTCCATCCTTGTCCCCTCCCGAGTAGGCAGAGTGGTCACTTAACCTGCAGTCAGGTCAGCTTGCCTCTCTATTTAAATCCTTGCAGCGGCTGCTGTTTCATTCAGACTGAAATGCCCAAGCCCTTGAGATGGCCCAGAAGACTGCACTAGAGGTCCTCAACCTTTTTGGCACCAGGAACTCGTTTTGTGGAAGGCAGTTTTTTCACAGACCTGGGGAGTGGGGAGGACGGTTTGGGGATGATTCAAGCTCATTACATTTATTCTGAACTTTATTTCTATTATTATTATTGCATCAGCTTCACCTCAGATCATCAGGCATTAGATTCTGGAGGTTGGAGACCCCAGCTCTACACCATCTGCCTTTCTCCTCTTATTTTAGCCTAATATTCTCCTTCCGGGCTTCCCTGGTGACTGCTCAGTGGTAAAGAATCTGCTTGCCAGTGCAAGAGATGCAGGAGATTCGGGTTTGATCCCTGGGTTGGGAAGATCCCCTGGAGGAGGAAGTGGCAACCCACTCCAGTATTTTTGCCTGGGAAATCCCATGCACGGAGGAGCCTGGTGGGCTACGGTCCATGGGGTTGCAAAAGTCAGACATGACTGCATGCGTGCACACACACACACACACACACACCACACTCCCTTTGACTTACTGCACTCCAGCCTCACTGGCCTCCAGCATGTTTGTTTTTTTTAACAAGGTCTGTTTCTTCTTATCTCTTTTTTTAAATTCAGATATCTGTGCACTATTTTCCTCATCACTTTTAAGTTTGTGCTAACAGACCACCTTCCAAATAAGGCCTCAGTCAGTCAGTTCAGTTGCCCAGTTGTGTCCAGCTCTTTGCAACCCCATGAATCGCAGCACACAGGCCTCCCTGTCCATCACCAACTCCCAGAGTTTACTCAAACTCATGTCCATCGAGTTGGTGATGACATCCAGCCATCTCATCCTCTGTCATCCCCTTCTCCTCCTGCTCTCAATCCCTCCCAGCATCAGGCTCTTTTCCAATGAGTCAACTCTTCACATGAGGTGGCCAGAGTATTGGAGTTTCAGCTTCAGAATCAGTCCTTCCAATGAACACCCAGCACTGATCTCCTTTAGGATGGACTGGTTGGATCTCCTTGCAGTCCAAAGGACTCTCAAGAGTCTTCTCCAACACCACAGTTCAAAAGCATCCATTCTTTGGTCCTCAGCTTTCTTTATAGTCCAACTCTCACATCCATACTTGACCGCTGGAAAAACCATAGCCTTGGCCAGACGGACCTTTGTTGGCAAAGTAATGTCTCTGCTTTTTAATATGCTATCTAGGTTAGTCATAACTTTCCTTCCAAGGAGTAAGCATCTTTTAATTTCATGGCTGAAGTCACCATCTGCAGTGATTTTGGAGCCCCCCAAAATAAAGTCTGACACTGTTTCCACTCTTTCCCCATCTGTTTCCCATGAAGTGATGGGACCAGATGCCATGATCTTAGTTTTCTGAATGTTGAACTTTAAGGCCTACTACGATCTAATTTAAATTGCCATTTGCAACCTACTCCCAGTGCACTTTCAGAGGGTGGCCTCTACATGGAACACACTGTGCACAGTGTCCTTGGCACTGTGGCAAGTGCCGTTCCCTTCTTACATGAGTAATATGTAACCAACCAAAGTGTTACGCTTGCTATTTGTCTCCCTTAACTAATATATGTAAGCTCTCCAGGGAGAGGAATGTTTGTACTCCCTGGTGTATCCCAGACATACTGAACAATCCATGGGTACACATAATGGGTACTTGGTGAATACTTGTGGAATGAATAGACAAGGAGATTGTTTTCAATTCTTTGGTATTACAAATAATATTTGTAATAGAGTAGTGAGTGCCTGTGATGATTAATTTTATGTGTCAAGCTGACTGGGCTAAGAAATGCCCTGACGTTTCATCACACATGATTCTGGGTATGTCTGTGAGGATATTTTTTGGATGAAATTGACATTTGAATCTGTAGACCGCATAGAGCAGTTGGCCCTCCCTAATGCAGGTGGACCCCATCCAGTCCTGAATAGGACAGAAGGCTGGAGGGAATTCTTGCCTGACTGCTTGAGACTTTGGTCTTTTCTGGCCTTTGAACTCAGACTGAAATAGCATTTTTTCTTGGTTATTGAGCCTGCTGGATTTTGAACTGAAACTTACACCTTCGCCTCTCCCGGGCCTTCAGCTTGACAGCTGCAGTTCTTGGGACTTCTCAGCCTCCATACTTGCAGGAGTCAGTTCCTTATAATAAATCTCTTTATATATATCTATATGCATATTATATGTATGTGTCTATCTGTCTACCTACCTATCAATAGATAGTTACATACACATGTGCCTTATTGGTTCTGTTTCTCTGTAAAACTGATTAATACAATATTCTTAGCTTGTCTTCTTGTGAGCATATGTAAGAATTTATCTAGGTAGATGATATGGGAGAGAAATTGCCTGGTCTTAGAATGTAGACATTAAATTTTACTAGATACTGTAAAGTACTCCGCTAATCTATATTTCTTTCTGCAGCAGTGTAAAAGTTGGTGTTTCCACATCATTTTGCCAACCCTAATAACCAACCTGATGGTTTTTATTTTTATTGATTGATTTATTTTTAAATATTTATTTGGCTGCACCAGGTCTTAGTTGGGACCCGCAGAGTATTTGATCTTCACTGCAGCATACAAGATCATTAGTTGTGGCATGCGGGATCTAGGGATCGAACCAGGGCCCTCCGCCCTGCCCCCCCGCATTGGGAGCACGGAGCTTTAGCCACTGAACCCCCTGAGAAGTCCCAACCTGATGATTTTTAAATGGTATCTTTTAAAATGGTTTTGTCTCTCACTGTACTAGTTTTACCATGTGAAATTGCGTTTTTGTGAGCCAGAAACTAACGAATACTGATAATTCAATGGGGTCTAATCTGACAGTGACTGTCTCTGCAATTGTAACTCTTTGCCATTCATATTTCTTCTTTTATAAATTACTTGTTCATATGATTTCAACATTTTTCTATTGTTTCCCCCAACCCCCTCATGGCCTTTCCCCATTTTTGCAATCTTTATATGAATACCTTTTCCTGATTTATGGTTGGGAGTTTGTGTTTTCTCATACAAATATGTGTTATTTTAATGCCATCATATTTACCATTCTTCTATGATTTGTGTTTTTATTGTCTTAAGAACTTCAACCATACCCTGAGGTCCTAAGTATATTATTGTATATTTTTGTCTATCATTTAAAAATTTTTATTTTAAATTGAAGTATAGTGTTTCAGGTATACAGCAAAATGATTCAGTTATACATATATGTGAATATACATATATATTTTTTCAGACTTTTCTATTATAGGTTATTACTGATGTTGAATATAATTCCCTATAATATGCCATAAGTCCTTGTTGTCTATCTATCTTGTATACAGTAGTGTATATCTGTTAATCACAAATTCCAAATTTATCTCTCCCTCTTCCCCTTTGATCACCATAGGTTTGTTTTCTGTCTGTGAGTCTGTTTCTGTTTGGTAAAGAAGTTCATTTGTATCTTCTTCTTTTAGATTCCACATATAAGTGATTTTGTTGTTGCTATTGTTATTATTGTCACTCAGTCATGTCCATTCTTTGCAACCCCATGGATTGCAGCATATCAGGCTTCCCGGTCCGTCACTCTTTCCTGGAATTTGCTCAAACCCATGTCCACTGAGTCGATGATGCTGTCCAACCATCTCATCCTCTGTCATCCCCTTCTCCTCTTGCCCTCAATCTTTCCCAGCAGCAGGGTCTTTTTCAGTGAGTCGACTCTTCACATCAGGTGGCCAAAGTATTGGAGCTTCAGCTTCAGCATCAGTCCTTCCAGTGAATAATCAGGGTTGATTTCATTTAGGATTGACTGGTTTGATCTCCTTGCATTCCAAGGGACTCTCAAGAGTCTTCTCCAGCACCATGGTTCAAAAGCATAAATTATTTGGCGCTCAGCCTTCTTTATGATCCAACTCAAATCTCTACATGACTACTGGAAAAACCATAGTTGATATGATATTTGTCTTTCTCTTTCTGACTTACTTTACTTAGTATGATAATCTCTAGGTCCATCTACATTGCTACAAATAGCATCATTTCATTCTTTTTATGGCTGAGTAACCATCCATCATATGTCTGTATCTGTACCTATCTGCATCTGTATACTACCCTTTCTTAAACCAGTCCTCTGTTTATGGACACTTGGGTTGTTTCCATGTCCTGGCAGTTGTAGTAGTGCTGCTATGAACATTGGGTTGCATATATCTTTTCAAGTTAGAGTTTTCTCTAGATATATGCCCAGGAGTGGGATTCCTAGATCATATGGTAATTCTGTTTTTAGTTTTTTAGGGCACCTCCACACTGTTCTCCATAGTGGCTGCAATTTACATTCCCATCAACAGTGTAGGAGGGTTCCCTTTTCTCCACATCCTCTCCAGCATTCGTTTTTTTGTAGCTTTTCCCCCCACGTTGTGTGACTTGTGGGATCTTAGTTCCCCAACCAGGGATTGAACCTGGGCCCTTGACAGTGAAAATGCAGAGTTCTAACCACTGGACAACCGGGATATCCCCTGTAGACTTTTTGATGTTGGCCATTCTGAGCAGTGTGAAGTGACACCTCATTGTGGTTTTGATATGCATTTCTCTAATAAATTAGCTATGATGAGCATCTTTCCATGTGTCTGCTGTCCATCTGTATGTCTTCTTTGGAGAAATGTCTAGTTAGGTCTTCTGCCCATTTTTTGATTGGGTTGTCTATAAATATTTAAAAGTTTTGCTTTTCCATTAGGTTTGGGATCATTGTGGAATTTTTTTTGGTATTCCAGGGTATGGTGTGTGATATGGATGAAAGAAGGGGTCTTATTTTTCCATGTAGATTGAAAACTTTATCCTTTCCCCATCAGTTTGCAATGCCATCTCCATTATCTTAAGTTCTCGTAAGAAATGTGGGTTTCTTTAGGTTCCCTCTTTTATGGCCCACTGGTCTATTTGTCTGTCCTTGCACCAATAACACACTTACTAATCACTGTAAGTTTATACTGAGTTTTGATAAATGAGAGGGCAATTATTCTTGCCTTATTTTTCTTCAAATTTGTCTTACAGTTATTGTATTATTTCTTCTTTCAGTATTGGATAGAATTTTGCAGTGTGTTTTAAACTGAATTTGCTAGTGACTTGAAATATACCTTTTCATAAGGAGGAAAATATCTTTAACTTTGTTCCTTTGTTATGGTTGAGTTAGAGTGAGTTATGTGAAATCAATGAATTAATTATCACCAAAGCCAGCAGAGAAAATCAACAGCCCATGACCAAAAAAAAAACGGTTATGACAATAAGTGATCCATTCTCTACAGCAAATATTGTGACTTTCCTATTACAAGCATGTTCCCAGTAGCAGAGTTACAAATCAACAGTCCCTCAAACAATTTAAAATTAATATTACAGGAAAACACGATGACTTCATGATGTCAAGGTACAGAGTAAGTATACATTTAACTTTTTATAATCATAGGCCTGTAAGTTTTTATTAATCTTTCCTTTACCTACCTAACAAGATGTAAGGGCTCTTTCAGGGCTTGGAAACAGACTTCTCAGGTCTCCTCGCCCCCCTTCTCCAAGTTCCTGACTAGCAATTGCTGGCTCTTCCTGGCAGCCTCTGAGTCAAATGAGCCTTGCTATCCAGTCTGTGAATTACTTAGTATTCAGCAGTTTGCTTAATGCTAGCTTGCAGATCGCTCATAATCTCTACTTTGAAACTTAATTTACTATTTAATTCATCTATTAAACTTGTTGGTGGAGAGAATCAATTTTTTCTGTTTCAATAACTTTTTAATTTCTGTAAGTTTTATCTTTTTTCAATCCTTCCTGTTCTATTTTCATTGTGTCTTATTCTTTAATTTTCTATTCCTTTCTTTTAAAAATCTCTCTAATTAATTTTTAAATATGCTTATTTCATAATATCGTTCAGACTGTCCTTGAGGGGCTAATCCTGGTGCATCAGTGGGGATCATGGGTTCAGTATATTATGTATTTTTTTAAATTTGTGGTTTACCACTTAACCTAAAGTTTTATCTCTTGTCCTTGTGTGTCATTAAATCCAGGCTCCTGGTGTTTTGTACCTACTGTTGGGTCCCCTGGGGGCAGCATATCTATGTGCCTTCTACCATGGGCATGGTCAATTCATGTGCATCTCAGCCTGCATTTCAGATCACTCTTTCTCAGAATCTTGTTTCCTCTTTCTGTGTTCCCTTATGTGTCATTTCTCTGGGTTTATAGTATGTGGCATTCTACTTCAGGTCATTCTTCCATGTTGCCAGATCTGATAGTTAAAAATTTTTGAAAGAAAAAAATTTTTTACCTAATTTTTATATGTACATTTTTGAAAAATCTAGAAGCAAAAAATTATGTTCTACTTGAAGAGATAATTACTATTAGCATTATATTAATTCTATATCTTTATAATCTTGTTTCTCTGTGCATATGTGTATATGTATATGTGCAGGTGTGTAAACACTAATATAATTATTGTTAAGTTAAAGAGAAATTATCCTCATTGTACTATTTAATAACATATTTTCAAAAATTAAATATAATGTCAAAATATTTACATGTTACCCACTATATTCCTACTAGGTACTTTTTAAAGGCTGCAAAATATACTATCATGATGCTATAATGTAATTTATTCCACCAACTGTGTTGTTGAACATTTTTAAAATGTTTGTGGTTATAAACAATACTGATACAAATGATCTTAGAAGTGCATCTTTGCCTGCATCTTTGTTTATTTATTTAGACTAAGTTGCTGAAAGCAGAATAGCTGGGTAATATGAATATTTTTGTTATTTACTGACAAATTGAGTTGTTTTCTCATGGGACAATTATCAGCCAGACTCTCTTTCCTAAATTCTTGTTTACCAGATATTGAAGATTGAAATGACATGAACATATATTTATATGTATGTCTTCCCAGAGCTGTAGGCATAACACTAGCATTTTCTCCCAAGGTTAGGGAGTGAGTTTCTGGCATGCCTTTCCTACCTAACTCCACCCTGTCAGAGTTAATAGGAATTCCATGAGTCACACGTGCTCTGAAGCATCAGTACGTGCTCTGAAGGAGAAAGGGTTCTCTATGATTACTTTTCAACCTGAAAAATAGTATATATGCCTCACATTTATCTGCTCCACTTACCAGCACCCAGCCCCATCCTGCCTCAATGAACTTAATGAGATTAACAGATGCTATTTCCTTTTTTAATGTACTTTTTATTTTGTATTGGCGTATAGCCGATTAACAATGCTGTGATAGTTTCAGGTGGACCGCTAAGGGACTTAGCTATCAGAATGTATCCGTTCTCCCCCAGCGCCCCTCCTTCCAGGCTGCCACATAATGCTAAGCAGAGCTTCTTGTACTGCACACTAGGTCCTCGCTGATGACCTGTTTTAAATATACCAGTGTGTGCTGGTCCATCCCAAGCCCCCACTGCCCCTTGCGAGCTCAGTCGTGTCTGACTCTGCGACCCCACGGACTGCAGCCCACCAGGCTCCACTGTCCATGGGGATTCTCCAGGCCAGAATGCTGGAGTGGGTAGCCTTTCCCTTCTCCAGGGGATCTTCCCAACCCAGGGATCGAACCCAGGTCTCCCGCATCGCAGGTGGATTCTGTACCACCTGAGCCACCAGGGAAGCCCAAGAATTCTGGCGTGGACAGCCTGTTCCTTCTCCAGGGGGTCTTCCCGACAGATGCTGTTTTTTTAATCTGCGTTAGTGTCCTGCCAGGTAACAGCATCATTCTGAGGGTGCTAGAACTGAAGCACAGAACAGTGATGAGAGATGGACCAAAAAAAAAATCTGTGAGAGAATATTCTTCACGTCTTCCAATTACAGCCCATCTATACTTCCCTCTAAAGTCATTTATTTAACAGAATGATATATCAGAAAACTCCAAGCTGGTTTCTTACTCAAGTATCCTTTTGGTTAAGTTGTAGATTATGTAAAATCTTGCCATCTCTTCTTGCTTAAAAACATTGAAAGGAGGCATGATATGACTCTAATAAATTATCATTAATTTTGTGAAGTTTCACAGTGGCATCTTGTCATAGAAGAATATGTTGTTGTTTAGACACTAAGTTGTGTCCAACTCTTTTGTGACCCCATGGACTGCAACCCACCAGGCTCCTCTGTCCATGGGATTTTCCAGGCAAGAGTACTGGGGTGGGGTGCCATTTGATAGCCCCGACCGAGGGATCAAACCCTCAGCTCCTGCACTGGCAGGCAGATTCTTTACCACTAAGCCAACAGGGAAGCCCATAGAATATGTACATGGGAATCCGCTGGTAGTCCAGTGGCTAGGGCTCTGTGCTTTCACTACCAACGGCAGAGGTCCTATCCCCGGTTGGTGCACTAAGATACTGCATGCCATGCAGCATAGCCAAAGAAAAATATGCATATGTGTTTTAGACATGCATAGCAAAGCACATGAAGTCTGGAATTTGCTCTAAAATTCCATGGAGTGGGAAGGAGGGAGGGGGAGAGGAATCGGTGGATAGTTGAAGCAAGTGTGGCAGAACTTTATGGGGCCATTGTATTATTCTCACTTTGTGAATGTTTGATAGGTTTCAAAACGTAGTAAAAAGGTAGTTTCTTAGGGCAAGAGAGGGGAGAAGAGAGACATGGAGAGAGATATTGAGAGGGATTGATCGATTGTCCTGTTGAATCTCTGAGTTAAAAACCAAGGGAAACCTGTCTGACGAAGGGAGAAACCTGGCTGAAGTGGGCTTTGTTATGAATGACTCCCTGCTGCCATCTAAGAGCTAGAGATTCCCCAACAGCACAGCGATTAAAGAATCCTAATAATCGAACTGAGTTCGATCCCTGGGTCGGGAAGATCCCCTGAAGGAGGAAATGGCAAGCCACTCCAGTATTCTTGCCTGGAGAATCCCATGGACAGAGGAGCCTGGCGGGCTACAGTCCGTGGGGTGGCGAAAGTGTTGGACACAACTGAGCGACTAAACAACAGCAAGCCATCTCAGGGCAGGAGTAGAAGCAAGGCTGTGTCTCTGTACACACATCCCTCTGCCCTGTACACGTACGCATTTCCCACTGCTCTAAGCCTGCTCTGTAAGAATGCATTAACAGGATTTACTAGTGGGAGGAATATCAGAGAAGGTAGTAACCTGCCCTGCTCCTTGAGTAAATGAAGAAGTCAAGTAAAATACATATATTTCCCTGCATAAGCATCTTTTAAAATCTCGTCTCATTTACCCTCACCACAGTTCTGAAAGGTAAAAACTGGAGATGTTGCTCTATTTTTATACGTGCAAGTGAGCCCTTGTGCGTATGTCGGTGGGGGGTGGGACAAGTGGCTTTGCCACTTTAAAAAGTCTACACTGAAATGACCTCTTCCCTTGAATTTAGACCTTTTTTTTTAAAAGAAATGAGGCTTTGTATATTGACTTTTAAATTTTTACTTATATTA